TGGTGACCAAACCTGCACACAGTATTCTAGGTGGGGTCTTACCAAGGAATTATATAAGTGTAACATCACCTCCCTTCACTTAAACTCCACACATCTAAAGATATAACCCAACATTCTATTGGCCTTTTTTTATTGCTTCCCCACATTGGCGAGAGTGGGACATGGAAGCATCAACATACATACCGAGATCTTTCTCGTAATCAGCTACCTTTATTTCAGTGGAACCCATAAAATATCTGTACTTTATATTTCTGTTCCCTGCATGGATTACCTTACATTTATCTGTGTTAAATTTCATCTGCCAAGTATAGCAGTAAGGCCATCTATACTACACTGGAGTGTATGCACAGCCAACAAAGCAGACAGGCCTCAACTAACAGTATAGCAGTAAGACAACCTATACTACACTGGAGTGTATACATGGCCAGCAAAGCAGACAGGCCTCAACTAACAGTATAGCAGTAAGGCTGTCTAAGCTACACCGGGGTTTATGCACAGCCAGCAGAGCAGACAGGCCACAGCCCTTGGCTGAATAACAGTATAGCAGTAAGGCCATCTATACTACACAAGTAATTTTTTGTGTTATTTGTTAGATATTGAGGGGATCAATTGAGATTAAAAAGAGACACAGTCTTTTATTGAAATTTTATTCATACAACCTGCAACATGTTTATAATTCTATTAAATAAATCGATAAAAAACGATGCAATGCTCTAATAAGCCCTGGCAAATTTCACCACTGGGCCTGACGAGATTAGAGAAAAGAATAATGGTTAGCAATCGTTTTCTAATGCAGCGAAGGAGCAGGGAAGCGTGGGGAGAGGCAGGGTGGGGCAGAGTCAAGCAGAGTGAGGCAGGGTGGAGCAGGGAAGCATGGGGAGAGGCAGGGTGGAGCAGAGTCAAGCAGAGTGAGGCAGGGTGGAGCAGGGAAGCATGGGGAGAGGCAGGGTGGGGCAGAGTCAAGCAGAGTGAGGCAGGGTGGAGTAGGGAAGCGTGGGGAGAGGCAGGGTGGAGCAGAGTCAAGCAGAGTGACGCAGGGTGGAGCAGGGAAGCATGGGGAGAGGCAGGGTGGGGCAGAGTCAAGCAGGGTGAGGCAGGGTGGAGCTGGTGAGGGAGAGTGAAGCAGGTTGAAAATGGTGAGGCAAGGTAGAGCATGGAGAGGCAGGGTGGGGCTAGGTGGAGCAGGGAAAGCCAGTTAGAGGCAAGGTAGAGCAGGGAGAGTCAAGGTGGGGGCAGGGTAGAGCACGGAGACACAAAGTGGGGCCGAGTGCAACAGAAAGAGGCAGGGTGGGTCAGAGTCAAGCAGAGTAAGGCAGAGTGGAGCTGGTGAGGGAGAGTGAAACAGGGTGAAGATGGTGAGGCAAGGTAGAGCATGGAGAGGCAGGGTGGGGGCAGGGAGAGTCAAGGTGGGGGCAGGGTAGAGCACGGAGACACAAAGTGGGGCCGAGTGCAGCAGAAAGAGGCAGAGTGAGACTGTACGATGCTGAACAAGCAGACGGAAGTGAGGAGACGTGGAGCCGACCTGGGTGAGGAGCTGCTCTGGGCTCAGGGAGTTTATCCAGCGTGTATAACGCTCAGTAGATCCCTCCGGCTCCCGACGAATCTGGCAGCCAATGATCTGCAAGGGGCAGGAGAGACCATTCTCATAATCATCATCATTATTGTCACCAAACAGCTTAGTCATTCCAAGAGCCAGCAACACTGCTATGTGATGTCACCAGTGGAAGCTTTCTCCTTTGTCATCATCATCATTAAACAACTTGGGGAGACATACAGTGGAGGCAGTGTGTGGCTGAGCGGCTGAGGACTGGAGAGTTGCTCCGTGTGTATATATCCCCATTACTCCCCAGAGCTGCTCCGTGTGTATATATCCCCATTACTCCCCAGAGCT